AGAAATATTTTAGATTGGTAGTTTGTTAGAAGTGAATCCAATTAACCTGAGAAGTGATATATAGTTAGAAAGAAAGTAAGGAATTTAATTCATTGTATATTAAATATTTCTCATTGAATAATAATTATCTTTTGAAAATATGCATGGTACTTTTCTGTTATTGGAACTGGATTCAGAAATGCACATATGTAAGAGTGTATGTGTGTACACACACATGACCTTTTGCCTGGAAACACCTGCAACAGGTTGTACCAAACGTCTCACTCAGCGGCCATGCAAAGTCAAGGAGCTGCTGCTCCATGATATACCAAAACGTTCTATCAGGTTAAGATCTGATGAGTTAGCTGGCCAGGACTTTAACTGGAATAAATCCTTATGCTTCTTGAACCATTCCAACAGAATTGTAACATGGGGTGTTGTCTTTCTGGAAGATTCCATTTCCAGTTGGGAAGGCAGACAATGGGTGCAATTGATTTGCAGTTATGCTCAGATAGTCCACAGCTTTCATAGTCTGTTCTACCACAACTAAAGGTCCCAGAACTACCTATGAGAACACTTCCCTCAAAGAATAACACCGCAACCATCAGCCAGTGTATGACATGCTATATGGGGGGTAGCAATTGTATGCCTAGAAGATGGCATACCCCAACAAGACCATCGACATAATCAATGAAATATCATGATTCATCTGACCAGGCAACTGTCTTCCACTTATACATGATCTAGTCTCAATGCTCCTGTGCCCACTGTAGGTGTAGTTCACAATGACACTTAGTCAAAGGCACATGAGTCGGCACACACAGTTCAGCAGATACTGTTGGATATGGGCTCCGCAGCCAATTTCCAACAGTATCTGCTGAACTGTGTGTTTCAAAAATCTTGCACTTTGACCTGCACTGTATTAGATTGTCAGATGAACCAATGTATGGTGTCGATTTTGTTGTGCCAATTGGGAGACTCTCCAACGTCCTTTTTCTTTGAAGATGCATGGACGTCCAACACCTTGGCATCTACTGCTGGTTTCAATGTCATTTCAGACTGTCAACCACCTACCAGTTGTACAGTTTCAGAGATACTTGTTCTGAGTCTTTAGGTCATTACAATCTGCCCTCTATTTAATTCGCTCAGATCAGCAGCCTTTCCCATCACTCACAAAAGTAATGGCAAGAATAATTCCTTACCTTCTCCAGCAGCAGTTAAATACCATTTCCACTTAATCACGTGCCCTCCATGTCATTCAGATGAGTTCATTGAAAAATGCAGGGATCATCATAATGTTTTGGCTCGTCAGTGTATATGCATTGCATAATTGTTTTGGCAGGAGGATAACCCTTTCCTCATAGAAGTTTTTGAACATTTGTTAATCTAGAGTTAATTTTTAGTGCATTTTGCATCATATATTTACTAGATTTTCTGAGAAATGAAGCAAAGATGGTTGTTATATCCTCATGTGAGATATTTGACAACAAATAATGAGATTCTGAATGTTATGCAATGAAACTATACCACAAAAGATACATGATGAAAATTAATATGTTAAAAACAGCCAGCAAATTATTAGAGTGAGAAATAGAAATTGGGGCTAATCTTTGGAATATGGTAACAGGCAGTTTGGCGACATTTTGGTAGGCGATAAAGGTTACTACCTAGGACTTTGGCAATAATGTGAGAAGTATCCAGTTCCAATTACGGATTATTTTGTCTCAGAGAAATGAGAGATCATGAGATATGTCATGTGACATATATGGAAGAATCACAGTTCTTTAATCGGAAAAGGGGGGAAATCTGGAAAAATATCTGCAGTATTTTATAGCATTTTGTATTTAGCTTCATTCTGTGTTGTGTGAAACAGTGTTGATTAATTTTTGGATCCCATGGCCCTATGAAAAGTGAATTTGAAATGGGTATTTAGTGGGATTGAAAGGGGTAGTAATAAGTGTTTTTTTAAGGTTGTGCGAGATAGAAGTAAAGATTGCTTTTTAAGTTTTATTAAGCAGTATATTCTACCAGTACAATAATAATATCTGATTGCTGGAAGTCATATGTCTGTTTGGAGGATGAAGGTTTTCAACTGCTGTTAACCATAAGTAGCATTTTAAAGATCTTGAAACAGGTGCACATAAGAATACGATTGAGATTCTGAAGAAGATCAGGTAGGTTAGTATTTTTATCATTTGAGGATAGTATTTTTACGCATTGTTCTAAATATAAGGAATAAATAAATTAATATGCTATTATTGGAAAATTGTTATTAGCAATGAATTAGTTTAAAATAATTAAGATTTTAAGCTAATTTTTATTAATTTAATGTATGTGTTTATTTATATTTTAAGAAGTGTTTTTTAATTTAATTATATTTTAATTAAATGATAGTGATTTTGTAAATTATATGTTTGTAGCATTTTGGAATACGTTTCGGTAGAAGTAAACATGCATGGCAACAATTTAAATATTTGACACTAAGTATTTGCAACCATTTTTAATGTTTGCGTTATAAATTCGCAGGTGACGTTTATAATAGATAATTTAGAGGGAAAAGTATTTGGATATTTTATTTATTTTATACGTGCAAATGTTCATGCTTGGAAACGGTATATACTTTTTCGCGATAAGATAATTTCATATATGTCCTTTTTTACCGACTTTAAAGATTCACAAAATTTTCCTGCATTTTCGTGCAAATTTTTCTAATTTATGATAAAACAAGCAGTGTACATGGTCAAGAGTGTGCACAATGCCATTTTTGTGCAATTCTAGGATGTTTTTTTAAGTAAAAATAGGTCGACGTGCACATGGTTACTGTGTATGTGCCATTCTGAAAATGCGGCAAGGAGTTTACAATTCTGCACTTTCTCCCAATTTTGCAGTTAATATTCGTCATGATTAAGCACTTTTGTTCCATAAAATTTCTAGCATAAGCGTAATTTGGCTAGCAGATTGTTGGAAAAAATGTTGAGTAAATAAAAAAGAAAGAAACCTGTCTTTACTTCGTGAAGACAAAATGGTGCGAAAAAAAAAGTAGAAGGTTGCTGTAGCAGGGTTCTTGCCAAATTTTTGCCAAAAATCGCCAAGTTACCATAATCCAAAGATTAACCGAAACTGGTTTGATAAAAAGTCACCATCTTATTTAGCAGAGTTTACATGCAGGCAGATACATATATTTTCTTGCCAAAGGGCACTAATAAATTTTTCGTAGCATACTTACAGGTATTGTCTCCCATTTTTCTGACATTATTAAAGTCTGTTAACGTATGGCAACATACTTGATGCAAAACATTTTAACTGTTTCACATCAGGCAACAGAATGAGAGCTCTCTTGGTTGGTAAAAAGTTTTTAATAGATGTATTATTCTTTTAAATCTTAGGAAATCTTTCATTAAATATATAATAACGCATAACTATAAAATGTTAAAGTGATGTTAAATTGGACATTCAATAGCTTTTATGTTATTAAATTTAATAAATAAATAATCTGTAATATGATACACTTTAATTGCTACAAAAGGTATAATGAGTTTTCTTGTACTTCCATAAATCACCACTGATTAGAGTATAAGCTGCAAGATTTAAAATTAAGTCACATCACAAATGTATTAATTTATTGTTATTAATAGTCACATACAGGGGTTGGACAAAAATATGGAAACACCTTTAAAAAAACATGTTTCTTTGCTTAATATGGTGTAGGAAACCCGTTGGCATCCAAAACAGCTTGCAGTCTTCTCGGAATGGATAAATACAGTTCCTGTATGTTTGCCAAGGGAATATTATATCATTCTTCCTGCAAAACGGTGGCAAGTTCAGATAAAGATGTTGGTGGTGGATAACGAGAACGCACTTTCCGTTCCAATGTAGACCACGAAGGTTCGATAATATTCAGGTCTGGTGACTGTGGTGGCCAGGGGAGATGGGAAAACTCATCCTCGTGCTCAGAAAACCAGTCCTGGACAATGTGAGCTGTGTGAACAGGGGCTTTGTCATCTTGAAAGACACCATCACCATCGGGGAACAAAGTTTGTGCCATGGGATGAACTTGATCGGCCAAAATGTTCACATAAGTCTTGGCAGTCATGCGCCCTGAAACATTTATCATGGGGCTAGCAGAGAACCACGATATGGCTGCCCAAACCATAACAGAACCCCCGCCATATTTCACTCTTGGCAACAAGCAGTCTGTATTATAGGCTTGAGATGGCGTTCTCCAGACGTAAACTCGGCCAGAAGTGGGAAACAATGTGAAAGAAGACTCGTCAGACCATATTACTCGCTTCCACTGCTCTATAGTCAGGCTTTATGACTTAAACACCACCTTTTCCTGTTACGGGCATTAGCATCACTGACGAGTGGCTTCTCAATTGCAGCACGGCCAGCAATTCTCTGTTTATGAAGTTCCCTTCTAATTGTTTTGGTACTCACAGGGTTCGGTAACACAACATTCATTTCAGCAGTAACTTTTGCAGCTGTGGTCTTCTTATTTTTCGTCACAATTGCCCTTAATGATCGTCTGTCACGATCACTCAGGACACACTTTCGTCCGCGCTGTGATTTAGCAGATGATGTTTTTCCGCTTTTCAAATATGCGGATTAAATCTTCGATACAGTACCTCTTGAAACACTAAACACCTCGGCTACCTTGCTTACGGAAGCACCTACCATACGTACTCCAACAATTTGCCCACGTTCGATGTCTGTTAACTCTGTTATAGTGCAATGACAACCTCACATAACAGTACTCCGACAACAACTGAACTGTTTAGCACATTTACGAAGTTGTATAGGTGGCGTCAGTAGTCAAAAATGCCAGCGCCACCTACATATTTCATTAAAATCAATCTTTCTTTTCAAACATGCATTTCACAAGGTGTTTCCATATTTTTGTCCATCCACTGTACCTCAAAAATGTATTTTTCAAAATTTAGCATATACTTAAAATTACCATACACGTTATCATTACTTTCTCAAAATAAATATTATTTATAAAAATATTAAAAAAGACTCACTTATATCTTGCAAAACAATCAACAACACCCTTATATTGCAAAAATGGGTGAAAAACTTGCTCTTCTAAAAGCTTAACTTCTCTGATCTCTGGCAAGATTGCTTTCATACTTTTCCAGTGACCAAGATTCGCTTCCTCAATTTGAAGTTCTGCTTCTGGAGTTGAAGTCAAATAACTGTTTATACATTTATGTAAAGAAGAGCCACTTGACAAAATTCCTTAAAGAAGGAAAAGAATAAAATATTTTATTATTAATGGGCATTTTTCTGGTGTTCCAGCACAAATCTACTCAGATTACTGATGGATAATTATTAGGTTTAAAGCTAAAATTTATTTCATGGTAACAAAATAAAATAACTCAAATCACATATCAAACAAGATTTCAAACAAACAAAAATGAAGCAATGATTACAAATATCTTAAAAGTATGCAAAATAATCAAAATTTATACTACTTATAATGTTGAAAATATGTAAAACTAAAATACCTGCAAAAACTATAAAACTATTAAAAATAATAGGGAAGAAATTGCATTATAAGAATCATATTAATTAAAATAAATGTTAAAGGTGTGTTATAGCCATAGCAGACTTTGCATTGCTGTCCTTTGGATATGCTCATGAGATACTCTTGAGTGAGCTATCCATAAATGTGTTAAAAGAATTTTCTGCTCATAATTTTTACTCATTCTCCAGTTATAAAATCTTAGTCTCACTCGCATAACTTACTGATAACTTGTATATATCCTAAACTGCAGCTATCCGATTCCTGCTTGAGAACATTTAAACATTCATGAAGAGCATACCTTGCTAAGACCTTGCTTTAATCTATCCATGAAGAATACAATTTTGCATTTTCAAATTTAATGTCCCAACACACACAAAATTTCAGTCTTTTCCCCCCATCTCTAACTTTAGGAAGACTATTCTTGGTATGAAAATATTTCATAACAAGAATTCCAAAAAAATTATGAGTTCTTACCTGGCTTACCAGTGAAATCAATGTACACTTTTCTCCATGCATATACAAAAATCTGCTTCTTCTACAATCTATCATATGCAGAAGAGTTACTAATGATTTAACATACAGGTGCTTCTTTGCATAATCCACATCATCAGGAACAAAACAGCCTTGTCTTCAAAGTTCGAGTTTGGCATGGCAGAATTTGTTGAAAGTTTCTCTTTGAGCAGCTTATGAAGTAACAATTGATAATTTATTGCTACTACCCTTAATAATAGCAAATCCTTGTTTATAATATTTACTATTTATTTTCTTCTACTGACCTATTTCTCATCTTTATTCCAATATAAAAACCCAGATATTATAAATATTTTTAACATTCCAAAATTTTCCACTTTGTATAACTGAGAGATGATCTCTATTAATCTCTTCACTTTTGCTATAAGTCAAAAGACTGATGAAAATGTTCCATTATTTTCTTCCATTGCATTCATTTCCTTAAATTCACAGTTTCTTCTCATTTAAGGGTGTTTTTTAAAAGTTTTATAAATAATATAGAAAGTTTAACTGCCTGTATAGTGATCTCAAGGACAACTTTGACTGCACCATCAAAATACATACTCTCTTTTTTATTATCTTTTCACTAATCAAGCCTCGTCGGTGGCCGAGTGGTTAAGACTATCGAATACTGGTAGTTCAACCTGGCTTGGGCTCAATCCCAGGCGAAGGGGCTGGCTGCATGGCTGGTTTTCATGCTTTTTCCCATGTATAACGTGAATAAAATCCAGTTCCTCTTAGAAAGTTCTCTATGAAGGCATCCCTCCTCTTAAGAAGATAGCTCTTAAGGTTTTGCCATATTCATATAATCTAAACACTTCATTAATTACATCTAATGATGAAAACACTCACTAGTCCGAACAACCAAAAATGATATAAGGGGCCCAGACAAAGGAGAAATAACCTAGACAGGAAAGAAAAATTAAGAAACTGTTACTATTTAAAAATGTATTCTTAACTGAACCAGTATGATAGAAGAAACAAAAAGCCAGATGTATTGTCAGTGCTAGATTAAAATTCTAGCAAGTCCTAACAAATTTAAATTGGAACTTCATTTATATAAATTACTTCTAATGAAATCTTAAATAATGTCATTTGTTACAAACACTAACATAGTGATAACTGCACAGTAAGAAGAGTTCTAGTCCAATGAAAAATAAATATATAATTATAGGCATTATAAGCCTCTAAAAATTTCTTATTTTTTATTTTAGAAAACTGAATAATATTACTTTTGTAATCTAGCTGCTTCAGAGCATCTTTTCTAAAGCACACATTGTTAAAGACCCTAGCTTTACCTATCACACTGAATTTTTTAAATAACTTATAATACATTTTAAAACAGATGAAAATTTATCAGCATAACTTAAAGGTTTAGTAAATTCTTAACAATACTTTGACAACAAGAAAAGACACAATGTTGTTATTTTTTTATGAACTGGTATTTATCATTCGGGATTTGTATTTGTTTTCTCAACACTAAAATAAACGGGTAGAGTAGACTTTGAGGTACCCCTTGTATTATGGCGAAGTTTTCTTTGATTTATCGCGAAGTTGTTGTTTCATTTATGGTAGCCTGAGTAGTTGAATGTTATGGAAAACCTATAGTGAAGTAATCGGGTGCATGATTCTGGGAAATTTCGAATCATGGGATGTTTTGTAAGCGTTTTTGTGGTGTGCGTTGGTTTGATTCTTTAGACGGTAGAATGGCCGAATGTAGTAAGATTAATTTGAATTTTCTGTACGATTTGGAGCGAAAGGGAAAAAGAGCTTTAATTGACTCGTGTGTAAATGAAGGTTTACTTAGTAACCATTATAAGTGTCTTGTATGTAGGAAGGATATGTGTCTAGTCGAACATAAAAACCGTTTAGATGGATTTGAATGAGGTAGGAAGAAAGGTTTAGATGGTCACTATGTGAAGCATTACCTGGTTTGAAAAAAAGTCATTTGAGTATGACTGATATTTTTATTTTTACGTGGCTTTGGGTGTACGAAGCGAATTCGAAAATCATGGTAAGTGAATATTTGCTTTCGGTAGTGCTTAAATGTAAAACATGTTTTTCTTTTTTATGTTATTTTATTGTTTGGTTTAAAATTTATTTTATTGAGATTATGTATTTTTTGTTTGCCTATATTTTAGAATTTGGTGCTCCTTTGATTTTTTAAGTGAAAATACATCTATGTGTCTGTTGAGAAAGTAAAGGGAGTGCGCAATGCAAGTTTGTGCAATTTTGGGATTTTTTTTTAAGTGAAAATAGGTCGACGTGTACATGGATAAAGTCAAAGGAGTGCGCAATTCGGAGATTTTTTTTAAGTGAAACTAGGTCGACGTGTACATGGATAAAGTCAAAGGAGTGCGCAATTCAGGGAATTTTTTTAAGTGAAAATAAGTCGATCTGTACATGGATACCGAGTTTGTGCAATTGTTTGTCTTGTTTTGCCTTTGTGTAACGGCGATGTTTGGCGCAAAAATCGCCGCTTCGCAAGCCAAAATAACGAGTCAAAGAATTGCACAAAATCAGTATCCATGTACCGCCAAAAATCGCCAAGTTTTGTCAAGGCTTACCCTAAACTATACTTTTACCGAATAAACTATTAGTTCTTATATATAAATATTGCCAAAGTAAATCTTTTTACTTCATTCCTATAATCCAATACACTCTTTAAATCCTGAAATTCTGAAAAATACACTTGGCATGCTTTGTTAATTTATTAATATGTTTGTATTTCATATTAATTTTGCTACAAATTTTATCACAGATAACACAGAATATTTTAAAATCTGCTTGACCAATTAAATTAATACAGTACAAAGTCCGAAATCCGGACTCGTCGGGACTTCAGTGATTCCGGATTTTTCCGGATATTAGATCATCAGTTTAAATCCAGTAAGACAGCATGTAGAGATTATAAAATTAAAAATATGAAATCATAATTTATGAAATAATGAAGTATTTATAATCTACCGGGTATCAAAATTTACAAAAAAAAAAAGCTTAATATTGATTTGTTTACCATATTAAACATTTCTTTCAATGTAAGTTGCTTAAATTGCTTCATTTTTTGTGCTAATACTTTCTCTTTAATTCTGTAGACAGACATAATCTCTTGTTCAGCTATATTGTTGAAGTCCTGTAACTGTCGTTTCAAGAATTCTGACTAACTTGTCAATCTAAATTTTTCTCATTTTCAGTAACTTCTCTGTCACTTTCTTCACTATCAGTAGGGGTATTTTCTGGATCTAGAACCATACTACAGATTTTGCCATTCATTAATTGATTGATGATTGAGAAGCATTGTCATCACAATGAAAAATTCCTTTTATATTATCTTCATTTATTACCACTACTCCATTTTTCATTTCACTATCCTATTTTCATTTCACTTTGAGGCATAATTTTGTACATGAGATGCTAAAAATTAATTTACTTCAGCTAGAAAGTAGAAGAATACAATGCAGTTTCCATTAGATCCAGCTAATAATCTAAAATAATTATTATCAGTATGAAATGCAAAGGAATGTTTCCTTGTAAGTTTTTGGCTCGATTGTGTGTTGTATTGCAACTCTTTTGATGTTAAAAACTCTTCGATGGTTTGAGTCGTGCATGTTTTGAAATGGCCTATGTTGCAACGAGAGACGTGGTTGCAAGAGGGTCTGGAAGATTATTTTTAGTGGCTGTGCATGATAGAAATAAAGAAATGCTGATGCAGTGCTTTAAAGAGTGGATTGAGCCTTGTACAACTATTTTTTTGAATGGCTAGAAATCTTACAAGGATTTAGGAAAAGAAGGTTTTGAACATTTATTTGTGAACCATAGTATGAATTTTGTGGATAGCGAGTCTGGCTGTCATATAAATACCATAGAGAGTACATGGCGGCATGTTAAAGCTATGTTCTGCTGTCCGAAGAAACATCTACAGTACAAAGGCCGTAATCTGGACTCGTCGGGACTTCGACGATTCCGGATTAAAAATCATCAATTTAAATCTGGAAAGATGGCATGCAGAAATTATACAATTAAAAATATGAAACTGTAATTTATGAAATAAAGAGCTATCATGATCTAAAAGGTATCAAAATTTGCACAAAAAAAAAAAAAAAAAAAAAAAAAAAAGCTTAATATTTATTTTACTTTATTAAACATTTCTTTCAATGTAAGTTGTTTAAGTTGCTTTGCTTTTTGTGCTAAACGCGCATGCGTAAACATTAAATGTGCAAGCATAAACGCATTACGCGCATGCGTAAAAAAAAAAAAAAAGTTTGTGGCTTTGAGATCCAGATTATAGATCATTCCGGATAATGGACATCCAGATTACAGACTTTGTATTGTATTACATATGGTAATTTGTACTGTATTATATATGGTATATATGGTAAGTGCATTTTATTTTATTGTTTTCATGTCGTAGAATGCTATGTTCATTGATTTTTTACTATGAATTTCTGTTGGTATTGCTGTTTTTTGAATTATTTGTAATTTATTTCAGTTATTTTAGTTTATTTTGTTGATTTGTGCGCAATGCCTAGATTGTGCAATTTGTAGATTTTTTTAAGTTTAAAGAGAATGCTGTGTACATGCTATTTTTTGAAATTTATTGTTGTTATGTTAGTTTATTAAAGCGAGGTGTGCGTAGTTTGTAGATTCCTTCGCTGCCAATATTGTGCAATTCGTAGATGTTTATTTAAGTTAAAACATATCGCTGTGTACAAGGATTCTTGTCAAATATTTTTGGTTAGAAACTTTACGGTTTTGCTATCTAAATTTTTTGTCTTTGTTTTGGATTTAAGCTTAAATTAAGTGTGTGGTTTTTGCATGTGCGAAAACCGCGATTTTGGAGACATTTTAGGCTTAAAGTTTGAAATGTAGACAAAAAATTTAGATAGTAATATGGCACTGTGGAGTTTCTTGCCAAAAATGTTTGGCGAGAAATTTGGCGGAGCATATAAGAGTAATTCCGAAAGGGCTAAATTAGCATCCACCTGAAGTCGTGAAAAATAAAATTAAATACTATTGAGGAAGTTATATGGAGAAGCTATGGGAAAAATTGACAAAAAGAAAAGACCTTCACATTTAAAACTTTACTGATCCAAAAGCTAACGCTCATAATAATGAAACCAAACTAGAAACTGCAAAGTGGAAAACTAGAAAATAATGTAGTATGGCTTGCCAACATCTTGAGCTCTATCTAGGGTTACCAAATGCAAAAATGGAAAAAGAGGACATTTATTTTGAAACAGAATAAAATTAACTTTACATCAATATTTAATGTAAGAAAAATATAATTTCAACATTAAAATAATTTTTAGAACATAGTGCTCGTGCTATAGAGCTGTTACCTGTTTTAATCTCCTCATTTCTTAATAAATAATTATAAAAACAGGAGCATTGCCACATATGAACTTAATTAGTTGTAATTAGGGTTACCATATAGTATCCAAAAGGAGGAATTTCAAAAAGAACCTTAATAAGTTCTTCTTTTTTTATTAAATGACTGTGCAATATACAAGTATTGTTTCACTATATGAACATTTATTTCTACAGTCATACTATTTTTACAGAGTTTTACAACTTATAATCATATTGTTTGAGCATTATCACCTTCATTAATTTCCCATTTAATATGTTTCATTCTTCAGTCTATTGAGAGCTTATCACTGAAAAACCACTTCTGGGGTTTGCATTATAAGCAGAAATGCATAAAACAATTTATAAATTTTCAGTAATTTCAAAAAGTAATCAATATTCATTCAGATTATAAATTTTGATAGACTTAATCCCTTTGTGTAAGATTTCAGGAATGATGTCATGTTGTAAAATTGGCTGTGTAGTTTTCCACAAATCTGAACAACTCATGACAACTCGAACATAAAAATAATACGACTGTAAAAATAAATGTTCATATAGTGAAACAATACTTGTATATTGCACATTCATTTAATAAAAATGGAGAACATATTAAGGTTCTTTTGGAATTCCTCCTTTTGGATACTGTATGGTAATTACAACTAATTAAGTTCATATGTGGCAATATAAAGGTTGTGATAATATGGTGATGCCAAATTTGCTGTTATTCATAATTTATGGCATTTAAAAATAAATTATAACATTTTTAGCAAGGACTTATAATTTGAAAACAAATTGAAGTTCTTCCTTCAGAGTTTTTCCTTGGTAGTTTGGTATCCAGCGAAATCTAGGAGTACCAATGACAAATCTCATTTCTGCTACTTTACAAGAAAACTTATTTTGAGTATTTTTAAAATCCTTTCAAATAAAAATGTTTACTACTTCTACATCCTTATTACATTTTATATTTCCAACCTTAAATACTTGTTCAAATGCACATCAGAGATTATATTATTACAAGTTAAAATCTAATACCAAATTCAATGATATTCACTTTAATACAAATTACAAATATCACAACTCAGTACACTGAATAATAATTTGGTAAAATCCTAGTATACGGTGCAGCCTTGGCGCGACTTTGAAAATTATCGCCAACACCAAAAATGATCCAAAGAACGTCTATATATATATATATATACTATATACACATAGTATATGTATATACACACATAATATATATACTATTATGTTTAACTGTATATGACCCGTTAACTACTCATCGTATATGTCCCGTTTTTACTGCTCATCATAAAGTCGCCAAAAGTAGCCAAATCCCGTGTGCACCGGATAATAGGATTAAACCCATAATTTTACTTCTACTAATCTTAACAACATTATAAGGGGTAAAGTGCAGAATCATCCACTTATTTGTTTGGCACTTTTTAACCAGAGTAAGAAGAATTGGATTTTGTCAATTTTCTTTAACTTTTTTAGTGAAAATAGGTCGATGTGTACATGGATAAAGTCAAGGGAGTGTGCAATGCCATTTTTGTGCAATTCTGGGATGTTTTTTTAAGTGAAAATAGGTCGATGTGTACATGGATACGGAGTATATGCAATTCTTAAAAACGCGCCAAGCAGTGGGTGATTTTGCACTTTCCCCCATTATAACATACTTGCATAATACTTTTCAAATCCTTCTTGTCCTAACTGTGCGATCATGCTACGTCTCCAACGCTGCAAAATTTCTACCCTATTTTTAGGCATAGTTTTTTCTAAAATAAGAGTAACAGTAGGAGCAGAAGATTTATTACTCATGGATTCCAAATATTTTCTCAAATAATTCATTTCCAAAATCGTACTCTTCACTTCAGGATCACTTTTATTCATTAATGGAAATTTCAACAAAATATTCATATCAGGTGCAGACGGCCTATTATGTAATGATTCTCTACTTAGCCCAATGTCGGCATTAGGCTCAATAACAGGTATCTGTGTTTTATGTTGAATTATTTCATTAGATGCCTGGATCTTATTATCATTATAAGAATTCCTTTCACCAGACTGCACCGGTCCAAATAGATATTTATTTTCCCAATTTAACCGCTTAATTACAGATGAAGCACGCTTCCATTCTAAGACAACAGGAGAATTTTCACCAGAAGCAGGAAATCGTCTCTTAATAACAGTGGCCTTCTGTTTGAAAATTTTAGTACATTTCACTTCTTTTTCTAAGATACAAGAACTACACATGAACAATCTTTGAAATGCTAACAAAAGCTTTTGATTTCTTAAACCGAAACTACACAAAACTGAATATTTAATAGCAAACATTTAATAGAAGTCGAGTAATCTACAAATAAAAAGAAAAATTCCACTAATCCTATAAGTGTTCAGTAGATAGCGTATTTCAAGAAAACACTGTAATGATAGTCACACACCGAAACTATTGACGCAAAAGCACTTACATAAACATTGCGGGGTTTAAATTTCTGACTACAGCAACAGTAGAAGTACCTTATCGGTTGAAATTATTAAAAAAAAAAAAAAAAAAAAAAAAAAAAAGCTTTCATTACATGGAAGCTAAATTTAGACATTTTAAAAAAGGATTTCTGTCAAAAATTTTCGTGAAGCATTTATAAAATGGTATTCTTTCATATAATCTGTGCGACACAATACGATGGATCATATACATTTTCGTATACTTGGATTTAAATGTACTCGCTCCCCAAAAGGCTTGTAGTTTTAATGCCATTTCAGTTCTTCAGGCAGTTTGGATAGTACTCATTTGTTTTTGAAAACGTTTTCGCTTGTCTTTGATGCTACGGGTGTCTTTTCATGAAGACAGTGTTCATCGTTCCGTATCATCAAAATCAAATGAATGCATTTTTTATTAATCTGTCCGCAGGGTATCATTTTCATAGCTATCCCTCAGTCACTGTCTTTCAATGAGAGCATGCTACATTCAGTTCGCATATACCCATCAAAGATATTGAATTCTGCTTACCTTGTGAACAGCAAAAAGCATAAAATTTAACAATTATCACTTTTATAATTGGGTTTTCGGTTGTTAAGTTCCATCCCTATTTGGATTTCTCATTTGTTTAACTCTAAAATTTCCATTTGTTATTCATCTCAATTTTGATGAAAAACCTCCAGGAAGAACAGACTCTAGTGTCTCTTACCCCTCTTCCCTCACCATTAAAACCGTGAGAGGACTTTCTTCTCATCGGTATTTCAAGTGCCCTTCATTGCAAAGATAACCAGAAACATCCATGCGTTCTCCGAGATTCGAATCCTGTCCCAAAGCAATGGCAGCCGATTTTAATACAATCATGACAACAAAGCAGCAACCATGAATACGGATCTTAAATGCCAAAGTCAAATCAAGCTGAACGTTGAAATAACAACATCTAATCAAAATAGTAATGGTAAACAAAGTTGATTATTGTTTACATGGTATTTTATCGATAAATCACATTTGAATAAACTTTCACTATTAATGTTAGGGGGCTTTCAAGTGCATTTTTGCCAGAAATAATTATTCCAAATGAAGACCTGGAGAGAAAACTATTTATCTCTATTTTCATGGAAGCTGAAATAATAATGACATCTACTCGGCAGCAGGAACAACTACTACATTGTGCATCTAAAAGCATTCATGTCTGTGTTTGTAACCCAGAAAAGATTTTGAGTACTAGAAAAAATAATTTTTGTCTACGCGCCAAGAGGGAAGAAACATTTATCTCTAACTTCGTTTAATAGGGTTTCCATATTCCTTTTTGTATCTGATAACAAAGATTTGTTGGTTTCGTCCATCAGTTTTTCCGTAGTGCGTGTGAACATGGCAAGTAAGATTTCAATCCAGGTTCCGATTCAGTGGCAGAGTTTTCTGCAAAGAAGAGAAAGAAAACAGGGAAAATCAGTGTTGTTAGCACGGAGTATAATGACTTTATATTTGAATTTTATATTTGAAACCAATTTTGAAAACAAAATTGACAAGAATTTTTTCTTGTCAATTTTGTTTTCAAAATTGATTCAAGACCTGAAAAATAAAATGACGGAAAAGAACGTTATTTAAGTAATAACCAATTATGACAGCAGAGATTTGTGTCCCTAAAATTAACAGAAAATTATGTAAGAGAATTTAAATATCTAAATAAAAACCAAAATTCAATTCTTTCTTAATTTGTGTATGTGCCTGTATATATAAAAATACGCGCACAAAATACATGCATATATACAGGGTGTCTTAGTACCACGTTTCAGAACTTCTAGGAGAAGTAGGGTGCACCTAACGACTCGGAAATGTATAGCAATGTAGGATCTGAAATGCTTTTCTGACACGGTAGATGGCGTTGGGCGGAAGTTCCGAGAGTTCTTGCAGGAAATTGTCACTTCGCACACGAACCCAGAGTTAGTTTGATAATTATACGAAGAAAGATATAAGATGAATAATTATACGAACGCGGAGTTAGCTGATATGAATTTGGCATATGGGTCTGCAGATTGTAGTGGGCCAGCCGCATACTGCTTGTACGCGGAACGATATCGTATGAGGCGTACACTTAGCCATAATTTCTTTGCAAGGCTGCACCCGAGGTTAACTGAAACAGATTCCTTTCAAACAGCTGCCATAAATCGGACACAATCAGCATAGACTCGGGACTTCGAAGAGAATGTGCTACATCTGGTACTTCAAGTTTGAGTCCACAGTTGTGGTTTCCTATTCCAGCAGCGTATCCAGGCATTTGTAACAGGGCGATTAAGCTCGTCGTATTGCTTTTGCACAATGGCATCTTGAAAAGTGTGCTACATATTGTCGTTCCCTGCTAATGTGTTGTTCACCGATGAGGAATCTTTCACAAGGGAAGGAATATTCAAAGTCCTTAACGCCCATCTCTGTGCTGCAACACGACGTCGTGCAGCACAGAGTCGGTTTTTGATTGTTTGGGCCGGCTTTGTGTATGTCACCTTATTGTATCTTACCTGGTGCCTTTTCGTCCTACTAATTGTAAGTACTTGATCCTTCTGCAGAAATAGCAGAAATGTAATTACTTGATCCTTTTGCAGTCATGAAACAACATTTAAATGACGAACAGATTTCTGCATCGACGTGACAGACAATGTGGTTCCAACACGATGGGTCCCTTGCCCGTTTTAGCCAAAACGCACACTTCCTTCCACCCTACTCTTTCTCCTCCCGCCTGATTCTTATCAGAAGTCGAGTAAAAAGATGTTTCTACACCTTGACACTCAGGAATAAAATACGATCTGTGTGTGTGTTCGTATCCACCTAGACGCCAGATTTGGCTAACAATGGATCGGACATGTAGTCCGGTGCATTGGCCTTTCGATCACCAAACCTATCATTTCTTAATTTCTTTTTATGGGAGCATATGGAAGACACTAGTTTATGACGCCGAGGAGCTGGTTGCCCGAATTGCAGTAGCTTCTGTGGAAATTCGAGATATGCCTGGAATACTCAGAATTCTATGTGAGGCGTGCACTGAAGTCGGTGGATGAAACTTCGAACACTATCTTTCACTTTTACTCATGCAAATTTATTGTTAAAACGATATTTTTACCTAGTGTCTTTTAATTTCTGATGTATTTGTGTAAACCAGCACGTGAGCAAAGCATTTCCGACCTGCATTGCTATATGATTCCTAATCACCCTACCTCTGCTAGAAGTTCTGAAACGTGGTACTGAGACACAATGTATATATAAAGGCCATGAAAAGGACAACGTAAAACAAAATAAGCAATGCAAAAAACTTATATACAAAGGAATTAGACATTTAACTAATATGAAAAGTTAAAGCTTTTCTTGGTCTTAATTTTTTCCCATTTTATGCACTATTATTATAAATATGTCCCATTATAGCGTCAGGTAAATGAGTCATCCTTAAATGCATATTTAAACTTTAAATTATCTTACTTTTTTGTTTTTCGATATACCAAAAATAATTTATTAGTTTGAACAGTAGAGTCTTGAAAACTTGGTACTCGATAACCCGGCAGTCTGGATAACTCGGCCACACCCTGGTAATCCGAAAATACCCCACGCGCAGACTCATTCAAAGTCATTGCCCGGCTGCTTATGTTCCCTTCTTCCTGCGTTCCACCACATGACTGGGCCGGCGCGCGTTCAGCTGTTTAGTCCAAGAGAAATATTTCCTAGCCGTTAAAAGTGAATAACGCTATATTTGGAGTTCTTGAAAGTGTTGATCTGATCAGCGGAATAAATGCCCATTGGATATTATATTTTATATTTTTCGAAAGCCCTTTAAGAGAGGATTCCAAAGATATCGCATTCGAGAGGGTACGGCCAGCAACCTGCGAACTGTCATCAAAAGAAAATACAAAATTTGTAAGTCCTAAAGCAATGGAAATTTAACAATGCCTATATATATGACTAACATCAAGGTATATGGTTTTGAGTTAAAGATTGAAGCAGAATTGATTTAACTTATATGACAAAATTATAGTGGATTTATGAAGGAAAAAATTATTCTACAATATGATATAGAATTTGTCCTATAAGTTTCAGTGGTATTCAAATTATAAGTTACATTAGAACTATTTAATATTGTAATTTCAATGTAGAACCTTCAAAATAACATTGTTTATATAGTTACATTTATCATTAATTGCTATAGTTTGTACCTTTCTTTTAGATTTAAAGGAGTATCTTATCCAAATTACTTACTTTATAAGACTATTAATTTTTAATAGTCTTATAAAGAAATTTTTTTATCTTTAATTTGATATAAGTTTCATTTGAAAATATATTACATTAGTTGAATTATAGCCAAATCTCTAATATTTTCATATTTAATTTAAATTTGAAATCTATAGAAACTTCATTTTTACAAAGCTCATGCAATAACTTCAGATCACACATTTTAAAAATTATTGAAAAATAAACTAAATAAATTTTTAAAATAAGATTCATATTTTGCAACTGATACTACTATACTCAACATCTGGCAATTACCACAATATCAATTTTAAGATTACGTCTCAAAATATTTACGTAAATCTACATTACAACAATGACTTATAATTTAATAAAGATTTCAAAGGACAACAATTAAAATTAAGGTCTCCAAATTTTAAAATATTAGCTAAATAGTGTTGCAACAATATAAAAGGACATCAAATTTCTTTTTTTTATAATAATCTGAATAGAACTTTCAGCATATTATTCTGCATATAATAACGATTCCATAGAGTGGTCATACTATCTGTATATATTTATTAGAGACTAGTATTAGATAAAGTTCTTTATTGATTATGATTATTATGATTTTAAAGTTATTATATTATTAATATAATATTTAGTATTTGTATATTATTTGTGATAATATAAATATTATCATAAATTGGATAATAATATTATTATATCAAATACTAAGAGGATATACTGTCGTATTATGAATGGGATAGTGAACGAAAT